TGGAACAATATGAAGTTCTCATGATATTTCTTTATGGCTAGTTGCTACACGTTTAGATCTCAACTATATGGGAATTTGAGTGTGTCTACACACACATTACTGGCATTTATAAAATGAAATGGATGAGGCAGACGGTAAACCTTTTGGCTTTGGGTAGGTAAAAAAGACTAACTGATCTTTCGACATTGAAGTTCTATTGTGTAAGTGCTCTCTATGTTTCATTCAGGAGAATACTGCTCAAGCTCTTGGCATTTGTCTCCGGCTTCTTGAAAGCAATAAATCTTATAGTGTACGGAAGTGAGTTGAAGTATTACACTAGAACACAGTAGACGCACACTACTTGTTTTAGTAGTTTTTACTGTCATTTCTTTTAACTCTTGTTTTCATTCTTGTTGCCCACTTTTTTTTGTAATAATTTCAGCACAGCTGCAGCAACCTTTAGACAGGCAGTTGCCCTAATATTTGACAGGGTGGTTACTGCTGAGTCCCTTCCCTCTGAGAAATTTAAATTTGCTTCTGGAGTCCATATGTCTCGAAGTAATTCGGTTACAAGTGACATTACCCGCAATATAACACATCTAAAGTACGTAAGGCATACACATTTGGAGAACCAAACCTTGATATTTTGTTTAGTTTTATATCCACGTGTCTATTTAGTAATTTTTGCGCTAGTGAAGTCGCTCTAAAGATAGATCAGCTAGAGATACAAAAGAAGTAAATAATTAATCAGTAAGGAAATTGAAAAATTTTCAACGCATTTGGGAGCCAAAGGTTCACTATTTTTTTTTGCTTTAGGGTGTGATGGAATACAGCAAAATGAATCTCTAAACTGTCTGCGCTTCTTTAATTAATGAAGTAGCAATTGGTCAATCAATGCAAATTTCGACGCTGAGCCGAGGGTCTTGTTTTGGAATCAGCCTCTCTACTTTTGAGTAGGGGTAAGGTCTACGTACACATACCCTCCCAGACACTACTCTTGTGGGATTTAATTGGGTTATTGAAATTGAGAAACTATGAAATATAGATCATTTTAAATGCTCGTTCTGGAACAAGATATATGTTCTGTATTTATCCTCCATCCACATAATATTTTTGTTACATATTCAGTCTTTTACTTATTGTTTCTCAACCTGCACGGGTGATTCATTAGAAACTCATGTATCATATCATCGAAAAATATACACCAATACTCTCGTGGCTGATTATACAACAATGCTCCCATATTCTCTTTTGCATGCCAGTACTTTGAGAAATCATCGAATTTAACATCGTTACTCTAGCCCGGCAGAGTCAGCTTCAGGCTTAATTATGTGGAGTCATTTTGGCTAAAGTAATGGAAAATTGGAAATAAATTGGACATCATTTGGACTTTTTTGAGTAACTTAATAAAGGAACCCTATGAAATTGTCCATGTTCTTCCCCAGAGTGAATGCAACTCAATCTAAGAGCTTTGACGCACTATATCTTCTCCCTCAACGTGTTTTCACTGTCTTCATTAAGTTTTCTCATTTTGTCCTCATTTTATGTCTCTCAATACCCCTCTCTCATCCTCACCTTCATATAGGTCGTGAAATAGACCGGCCCCTATTTGTAAATTAAGTCACAATTTTAGATGCCATGTCAACCAAAATATTGCACGTGATTAAGCCCGAAATTAACTCAACCGGGTTGAAGTAACAATGTCAAATTGGGTGATTGTTTGGAGTATTGGCATGCCAAAGAGAATCTGGAGGTAATATTGTATAATCAGCCAGATATGGGAGTATTAGTGTGAATTTATCCTAATATTATCATCATTTCAATATTTTGAACTGGCAATTGGAGTGCGTTAATGTGCTTAGAAGTCGGCACATAATGAATGCATTATGCTGCAGAGATCAGAACTGATCATCTCTTGAATAGGTCATTGGAGCAAGAGTTTACTTCTGGAACTTCGTTATTAATGAGGAATACATTAACTAAAGCCGGAAAGCTTGGCCTTATTTTGCTTGAGGATTTGGCATCTCTTGCAGCAAGTGGTTCTGTATGTGTCCACACAAGTTTTATCTTTTTTCGTTGGTCAAGTTTTGATTTTGTTCTACATTATTGCCAGTTTGAGATCATTAAACTTGTATGTTTATCAATTGTAAAATTAAGTCATTATGAAAGGTTCCTGGATAATTGATTGGCTTATTGTTCAGGCTAATTGGTTAGGAGTCAGCTCCCTCCAAAGAACGTTTGTGCTTGACATACTTGAGTAAGAAGACTACTACCTTTTAAAGCTGGATTGAATTTTTATAACTTATAACATTTCCTTGGTGTTTCTTAAGTGTCCATATGAAAAGCTGCAAAAAAAAAATACGAGTAATTTTTTGGTATTGTTTGAAAGTGTTCAGGGGCTTTGATGTTTATATTCTGTAGCATCAAGAACCTTCTTTGATGAGAAATTCAAGGAAACACATTTGATCAAACTTATTCGTATCTGGAATTCATGTTTGCAATCAATTTATTTGTATTTTAAATCCTTCTTGATGGCTATTTAGGTTTATTCTGTCCAATTATGTGGTGTTATTCCGAACCTTGATTCCATACGAGGAGGTGCTGATTTTACTACAATTTATTAATATATTACCTTTATTAGCATTTTTACTGTTTTTGATTCCTAAACACCCTAATGAAACTTATAGGTTCTCCGACACCAGATATGTTCGATCCTAATGACATCACTTCGTACTGATTCTGAGGTGAAGCTTCTGTTAGTCTCGTTGAAGTGTGATATCATAAAATCAAATTCCTACATACTGAATTTTTGTTTATTTAACTTGATTGATCTGCTCATAAAAAAACTTGATTGGTCATTATTCTTAGTTTCCTTTCCTCATTATTTTCCTTCATCACACAGTTTGAAGGAGAAACTGGAGAACCATATTTCCGTAGGTTGGTCTTGCGATCAGTTGCCCATGTAATCAGACTTTATAGTTCATTGCTAATAACTGAATCTGAGGTATGATCTTATTAATTTAAAACATAAGTTGTTAGCTTTCGTTCTTTGTTTATCAAAATGATTTGGTTATCCATTGGTTTACTAAAACAGTATAGAATAATGCTGATAGCGTACCAAATATGATATACTAATATGGACAACACCACACCTTTATTAGAAAGAGGTTAAATGGGTGTAGATAAGATAGAAAAGGGATAAATAAAAAACCATCCTGAATGGGAGATGCTGAATAGATGGCAAATTGTGTTCACAATTAACCTAATTGGAGAAAACATTGACATAAATTTCTTATAGGCAAAGGATCCTACTTATTGGGAAACATGCAATCATACCCCAGCAGCTAATATTTATCGTGATTGGGTTACAGCGTGGATCATGGAAAGGAACTTTCACCGCTACTTCTAATTCCTTATGTACTCGGTTTCTCATATTCAGATCATTTTATGTGGTTGAACTATTGAGAAGCATTAAGTTGCTTCTGAGAGCTTCTTGTATCCAAGGTTGTTAAAAGTGCAATCTAGATTGTAAGATTAGATGATTTTATGCAGTAGGGTATCTGGAACGATTTGAATATCATAAGATCATTGAGTTGGGTCGTATAATCGTTCGATTCATGCTCGATTTGTTCTTTGAAGATGTGAAGTGGGTTAGGTTACAGGAAGGGGTCGCTGCTTATCATCTGCTGAATTTTAGAATTATGAGTAATTGCCAGTTACAACCCATTGAAAAATGAAAAGGTTATCTCTTTGTGGGTGGGATTGGGAAGCGTATTGCCTTAATCTGTTTCACAAACTATTTTTTTCATTTTGATCGGTAAATTTAGTTCTTTTATTTGCCCATAATTTAATTATGATGTAGTGGAAATTACAGTGATTTCAACATTTTCCATTGTGTGTTTACATTATACTCCGAAAACGATGATTATATTTCTATGTTAAAAAAAATTATGTGACTCACAGTATGTGTCTCTTCTCTTTGAATTATTTTCAATCACACCAATTTTTTTAAAATAAAGATATGCCTAGTCAAATTGGGCACGTCTCTTTTGGGACAAAGGGAGTACATATTACCTACTCCCTCCATCCCATATATTTCTTCTCCTATTCCTTTTTGGGACATCCCACTTGATTCTTCCCATTTCTTTATTTGGCAAGTAAAGTTTCACCAAAAGACTAATTTACGCTTACTTTATTTTTTCTTATTGTTTGAAGCCAGCCCTCCACCCCACCCCCTTAGACTCCTCTCCCCCCTTTCTTTAGCCCCTCTCTTATCTTCTTTGCAACATCTTTTCTTTCTCCTCCAATCTATGACTTTTTCTTCTTCTTCGTAGTGACCCTCCACTCTTTTTTTCCTTTTTTTTCTTCCTATTTTTTTGGAAGATCTCCTGACCCTCCCTCTCTAATCGTTGTCAGACCCGTGGTTTCAGATCTCTCATACCGATCGGCGGCGAAGGTACAAAGGTAAAAAAGAGCTGGCTACAAGACGGCGGCAGAAAACATTTCCCCCCATTTCTTCCTCTTCTTCTTCAATGGCGGGACCAATTTAGGTTTTTTTACATGGACCTAAGCTTGGGGTGAAACTATTCATATATATCGGAATGAAATTGAGAGTTTTAGTTTGTTTTTCTTTAGCTTGGGGTGATTCCTGGTTTTGATTTGTACTTTGAAGAGAAGATAGAATTGATTTGACGTGATAAACTAGACAGGTTGGAGTGTTAGACAATGAAGGCCTGAGCCCTTAGGGGAAGGGCAAAAGTGGAAACTCATCATATTTTTTTACTTTACATTAAAACCCGTGCCAAGTCAAAACGAGAAATTTCAACTTGGACGGAGGGAGTATTACTCTAGAATTGTGCAATCTGAGTTATGATTCTCAATTTACAATCTTCCATCCCCTCTTCTATCTAGCTAGAATCTCGATCTTAACAACCTTGCATGCATCTGTGCACTCATTAGCTGGCATGAAATGTCTTTGATGCAGGTGTTTCTCAGCATGTTAGTGAGTGCTATCAATCTTGACTTACCACTATGGCATCGCATTCTTGTTCTTGAAATTCTGAGGGTAATTCCAAAATTTGCTCACTGTCAGATATGAAAATGACTTCCACATGTACAAACCAATATCTAGTAATTTGAATCTTTGAAAAATGCAGGGTTTTTGTGTTGAGGCACACACTTTGCGAATACTTTTTCAGAATTTTGACATGTATGTTTATCTGCCTGGGTGTTTCTTGGCACAAATTTGGAACCTTTAAATTTGCAGGGAATTTCTAGTATATGTTTTTAATTGCCTCTTGTTGTTTTTCTAGGAATCCCAAAAACACAAATGTGGTTGCGAGTATGGTGGAATCACTTGCTAGGGTTGTTTCAAGCATTCAGGTATATGATAACAAGATTCACATTTGATGTTTTATCTGTCGTAAGCTTGTTTGTGTCATATCAAGTATTAAAATAGTTTCATCACATTGTATTTTTCCTTTTCCCCCCTTTGTTGTAACTTGTAAGCTGTGTGTGTATTTTGTTATTTATGTATGCTAATATTATTGCATCATTTGTAAAAGTGATACTTAAGTGAAATGCCTTTAACCTTTAAGGCTACATCACTCTATGCTTCCACATGCAAGGTGGAAGGATAAATGATTGAATGTGCTGAGATGCATCTATGCTTTGGCAGTGATGAAATAAGAATCCTTATTCGTTGATACCACCTTGAGATTGGTGGTATGTTTTTTCGTTAATAGAAGAAAATATATTCTTTCAATTGCAGTGAATATTGCTGGATAGATAACCAAATTAGCTTGTATTTATGAAACAGTCATTGTTTCATTTGTATTAGATATGAAAAACATGAACTCATAAGAATAAACAAAGGCCCATATGTAGTGTTCGGGTCCATAAATGAAAGGTCCATATGTCATCATTTTCAAAATTTACAAGAATACGCTTTTTCGTATGTGCTATGCAAACTTCACTGTTCGATGTACTGTTTGAGTATGTCTTCTTGTGGTCCTTGGGTCATGGCAATTTACATAAATACTGTTTAACTACGCATCAGTATTGCAGTTTCAAGACACATGCGAGGAAAGCCTTGAAGCTGTTGCTGGAATGTTTACCGGTAAGTCTAAAGGTAATAGAATCTTGATTTCATGTTAACGAGTGGACATACTTCACTTCAAGCATGAGTTATGTATTAGCTTTAACACTCAACCTGTTTGACCATAACTTGTAGTCTAATGTCTTAGAGTTAGAGAGGCATGTTACGGTTACACAGTATTCATGTTATTTAACGACAATTTAACTTTTAATCAACCAACATTGATTATATGCATCACGTGTTTCTCAAGATACTTAAAGCTACTGTTGTCAAAATCAAAATACTTAAAGCCAATGCTGTCAATATCAAGAATTTACTTTGGATTGGGCATAATCAACAAACTGTAAAATGTAAGGTTGTAACAGGGATTGTAATCAAATGCTTATGCTCATTGCAGGAAACATTTATTGTGGTCATTAAATGCAATAAAAGGTGGGCACATTTCTTTTTTGCAGGCACACACATAACACATGCCTGTCGCAGTGAGTGAGTGAGTGTGTGGGAGTATATGTGAGTGTGGGTGTGTGTTTGTGTGTGTGAGTGACTGAGAGAGTGTGAGATCAAGTGTCTGTGAGAAAGAAATACACTATTTAATTCTTTATTTATCATAACAGATTGTTAGGGGTGAAGCGGGGGTCTTATCAAGTTGGTATTTTATGAAGGATTTGTGGAGAAATGAAAGGGGAAATGGGCTGGACGAAATATGGAGTATGTGGCAGGAGTTCTTTTTGGGTTTTTAGCATTATGAAGAAGAGTGGAAAATCAGGAGAGAAAGGTGGATTTAGAAATGATGGGATAAATTCCAAATTAGGAATAAGAGATAAACACACTCTTATCTTAATTTGGAGCCAAATTAATACTAAAGGATAAATTCACCTCTAGATTAACTTGGGGTTGAACTCTAGTATTTCATCAAGATATTACACTCAATCAAATAACTAGAACCTAAAACTCACACTCAAGAGAACCACTCTTAAGATATAGAATTAGGAATTTGGCTAAAATAGCATCACACTATTTTAAGAGAATACTCAAAAGAGTAAACAAAGTTTTCATTTAATTCATGTGCTGGTTTACAAGGCCTATGGCCGAAATTATATATACATAATAAGGGAGAAAGAATACAATCAAGGCAGCTTCTTAATCCTTTCCAAAATCAGCATCCAAATGAGTTAAATTCATGACTAAGATGATGGATTCCTTTGGCTGGTTTTGTGATGTTTATTCGGCCACTAATGAGAGATATTTTGAAATGTTTCTTGGCCTGTTTTGGAGGAGGAAATTCGGCCATGTGTGAAGAAAACAACAGGGAACATTAAGTGGCTGTAATGGAAATGATAATAACTACTAATAATAATTCTAAGACAATTTTGATCGTATCATTACACCCCTTTTGGAGATCAAGCTTGTCTCAAGCTTGTGATCTTGAACATGACGCTGGATCATTTCACCAATAAAAAGTGAGTGTGATCCTTGTATTCTTGATGGAGATCGAAAACTTGTAGAAGTTCTGGGCTAACTTGAAGCTGAGAAGTATCACTAGGAAAGGACCATGAAAGACAACGATCAAGTGAGGGAGGTTGCAGCATTGGCAGTTGAACAACCATGGATAAAGTTGGTACAGCTAGCAGTTGCTACTTCAACTGCGATGAAGTCCAACGAATGGACAAAGTCTTCATGTTTTCATGACGTTTCTTGTGGGTTGTGAGTATTTAAATCGCTTCGCGTTGCTGCAAATTTTTAGATTCATCAATTGGGATTGGGGATATGCTACGAGCAAAGTTGAACATCCGTTCCAGGTTTGCCTGATATGCAGCCTGGGAGGCAACAGCGGAGGACAAATATTTGTTCCGAGCTTCGAGGTTGTTGATGGAGTTTTGAAATGCTTTGAAGGGTAGCTTGTCAAGGATGGTGTTGTCCAAAGCATTCCTGGCAGCGGTACCAATGATAGTTAATCATTGTTACGGGTACGAGATATATGGAGTAAGAACTCCGACCTAGGGTTTCAAGAAAAGAAACTCATGCATGCACGTAGGAACTACGGGGGAGCCAATCAGAAATAAGAGAAGGAAGAAAGAAATAACTTTTTAATTCTTTATTACTTGATAATCAAAGTAGATAACACAGTTTGGTTGTGCAAACTCCTTCACTTTTTTCTATTTCCAGGAGTTGAGTGGAGCTTGGATAGTGATGCATCCAATACTGCTGTCTTGGTTGCTAGTGAGGCCCATGCAGTGACATTGGCAAATGAAGGCCTGCTTGGAATTGTTTTTGCTGTGGCCACTTTGACTGATGAGGCAGTAGATGTTGGTGAGGTAAATATGATTTAAAGCGCCACTGATATAGTGATATGTTATGTTTAAACCATTCAAATATCTTATAAGAAAAGCAACTGCGTATCATGTGTTCCTTTTTCTTGGAGCTAACAGCTTGAATCACCGAGATTTGAGGTTGGTCCACCAACAAAATGCACAGGAAAGACGGCAATGCTTTGTACTTCTATGGTAGATTCGATGTGGCTGACCATTCTTGATGCTCTGTCCTTCATCTTGACGAAGTATGCATACATAGCTATACATGCACAATCAAGCATGCCAATTGCATTAAATTTGTTAGTGAATGTTTTGAGTAATCTACCATTGATCCTTGAAGGTCTCAAGGTGAAGCTATTGTGTTAGAAATATTGAAGGGTTATCAAGCATTTACACAGGTGACAACTTTTTGAACTTGACATCCACTTTATAGTTTAATGGTTCTCTTGTTTGATAATATTATTTTTACCTTTCGCCCTTTCACATCTTGTGTTTGTTAAGTTCATTGTTTAAAAAGATCCCTCTTTTTTCCCTTAACTGTTAAGGGCACATGTTCTTTTAAAAGTGCCACTATGCATGATACAAGCTATAAAAATATTGTATTGCTTTTTTTTTCCGTTGCAGTCTTGTGGTGTTCTCCGAGCAGTTGAGCCTTTGAATTCTTTTCTTGCATCGCTTTGCAAATTTACAATCGGCATCCCAAATGAAGTTGAAAGGAGAAGGTAGGAATCTTAACTAGTAGTCCCACTTTCATATCCTTCCTCTTTGCTTGTTTTGTGGGTGAGATCAATACAACTTGTCAACAACAAAGATAGTATAATCCCAACTCTGTTGGGGTCTGAGGGTAAAGATGTATGCCTAAGATGTACCCAAACTTTCCCCTGTAACAGAGAAGGTGTTTCTGACTTTCTGTTAGACTATGATGCATTGCTTTTTCTACTTCCTCAAGCTTCATAAAAAGTAAGAAGGGAAGTTTATAGAAGCTAGAAAGTAAGAAGGAAGGGAAGTTTGGGGGGGGGGGGTGTTTGGTTGGTTGAAAATCTTTTCTCGGAAAATTTAAATTTAAATTTTCTACATTTGCCGTTTGGTAAT